TCATTTGGGTTTCAGTAATTCCTCTCGGTTACATTGCCCTTGATCAAGCCCTACCAGGCCTCCTATACCCTCCTTACCATCGATTTTGGATCTTGTTCCCTTGTTCCTGGGTGTGTTACCATTTCCTTTCCCCTGCCTCCCCCTCTCCCATGTCCTCCTAGAACAATCAGTCCTGTTGTTTTTACCTCCAGCTTGTTTATCCCGCCTATCTTATCTAGATAGACCTACAGAGATAATAATATACGCTAAAAAACAAGACAGAATAAAACAAAGCAACAAAACAAAACAACAACAAAAACCAAGGACAAAAATAAAAAATAAAAAAGCCTGTAAATAGTTCAAGGTCTGTTTATTGACCTTTAGGAGTGTTTTGCAGTCAAGTCTGATGGGGTGCCACACCCTGGCCTCAAAGTCTATTTTTGGTATTCCCTGGAGACTTGGTTGCTCTGTAACCCATGCTGTTCTGTTGCATGCCCTTAGTGTTTCGCCTCAGTGTGGTGGGGTCAGATCGGGTGCAATTCCTGCACTGTGTCTCCAGTGTTGTCCCCCATAGTGCTATGGATCAGTGAGGGACGTAGGGTCTCGTAGTGGGGTCGGCCCTATGGAAAGCCCTTTCTTAGTGGCAAAAGTATTGTAAATGTTAACAAAATGTTGGAGATCACCTATGAGTTTTAATTATCTCCTCTTAGCCAAAACTATATGAGGGGAAGTAATGACTAGATTTGTAGAAAGCCAACTTCATTGTCTAAACAGATCAACTGAATAAGGTTTAAATTTTAATGTATCCTTGGGTCCAGTCCAAATGCTGGACCCAAGTTGCATTTTAACCTTCATTCGTTAGTATAATTGGCAAGTTGTTGTGAAAATGGTGGACTGAACTGTTGTTGCCGTGTGCCTTGATCTTGGTGTCGGTTCTGACTCACAAACCCTAAAGGTCAGACTGCAGTGCCCCATAGGGTTCCCTAGGCTGTAATCCTGATGGAAGCAGATGGCCACATTTTTCTGCCATGGAGCAGCAAATGTGTTCACACTGCCAATATTTAGGTTGGTAGTCAAGAGCTTAACCACTGCATCACCAGGGCTCCTTAGGGACTGGATAAGGCCGTGTGTGTGTGTGTGTGTGTGTGTGTGTGTGTGTGTGTGTAAACATTGTGTTATGACCAATGGAAGAGGGAGAAGATAATACTCAGAGGAAGAGAGCAAGACCAGGGAAATCAGAGTCTGCAAACTCATTGTATGTTCAGGGGAGTGTCAAGAGGCCACATTGGCAAAAGCAGAGAGCTATGAAAATGAGACAAAGCTAGAAGAAAGGAGGCTTTGAGAAGGAGGCCCTGGAATGAAAAGTAGGCTACAGATTTTAGACTTCTGAGGAGAAAAGTGACATGATTAAAAGTACTGTTTAGGAGAGATGGGCAAGCAGCAGGCCTGCAGGAGGGAGGAGGAGAGAGAGCAAGATCAGCTGGGAGATTATCTCTGTGGTGTCCAGCTGGGAGATTATCTCTGTGGTGTCCACCCCTCAGCTGGGAGCTCTGCTGCCTTTCCAGTCAGCCTGGTTTGGCTTTCACAACAGACTTTCAGAAAGTTTTCATTTCAGAAGTGAAGGAAGCGAAATTAGTATCCTTTGAGTCCTTATTTTTGCATACCAGCCCCTGCGAGAATGGTTGGCAGTCAATATTGTATTCTATCCACACCAAACAATGCTGATGCGATAGCTACTGGTATCCCCATTTTAGAGAAAAAGAAATCGGAACTGAGTTGGTTTGCCTTTGGCCATCAACCAAAGAACCAAACCTTTTGCCATGGCATCTCTTCAGCTCATAGTGGCCATGTGTATTATGGGTAGAGCTGCCGCAGAGTTTTCTTAACTGTAATCTTGCTGGAAGTGGGTCACCAGACACTCTAGAAGTTCTGCTGTGTGGGTTTAAGCCGCCAACCGTTCACTTAGTTCAGCAGTTCTCAACCTGTGAGTCCTGATCCCTTTGGGAATCGAACGACCCTTTCACAGGGGTCGCCTAAGACCATCGGAAAACACATAAATATTTCACAATATATAATTACATTTTGTTTTGTTATTATTCACTATGCTTTACTTAGGTTTAATTATGTACAATTTGTAACAATGAAAATATATCCTGCATACCAGATATTTACATTACACTTCATAACAGTAGCAAAATGACAGTTATAAAGTAGCAATGAAAATAATTTTATGGTTGGGGGTCACCACAACATGAGGAACTGTCTTCAAGGATCGGCATTAGGAAGTTTGAGAACCACTGATTTAGTAGATGAACACAAACCAAAGTGGGTTTCAAACCCATGTCTAACTTCAAAGCTCTTAATCTTTTTATTATACCAAGACTTATTTTCTGAGTGGGTAAAATAAAACTGTTGTTATCTTAAAAAATTTGATACATTGGATGGTGTATGTTATGAAAAAAATAAGAATAAACATAATTTATTAAGGATTCACGAGGGTGGAAGGGTGAGGGGAGGGCGGAAATAAAGAGGGGCTGATATCAAAGGGCTCAAGTAGAAAGAGACTATTTTGAAAATCATGATGGCGACATCTGTACAAGTTTGCTTGATATAACTGATTTATGGACTCTTATAATATCTGTAAGAGCCCCCAATAAAATTATTAATATGAAAAATAAAATAATAAATTTGAGTTAATCTTTTACCAAAATAGTGCATTAGATTTTTTAAAAACTGTTGACCTCTTATCCTAAAAATGCTGCCTTTCCTAGACCTAAACGCTATCTCTTTATGTAGGTCTTCAGCCGTCTATGTAAGAAGCAACAGGCACACTCCCTCCATCCTTGTCGTAGGACCTGAGGAGCCTGCTTTGTCTCCACTGTCACCTTCAACAGAGGACACAGAATTACCTTCTTATGAACAGGCAGTGGCACTGACAAGAAAACACAGTGTTTCGCCACCGCCACCATATCCTGGCCCAGCAAGCGGGTTTAGGGTATTTAAAAAATCTATGTCACAACCATCTTGTTAAGACCATTTTGCCATCTTGGAGGTATAGGGAATTCATGTTACTTGAATGGTTCATTCTGCAAAGAAGGAGTAAGCGAATGGACTGCACCACAGACAGGACTGGCTATGTCTTGGACCTACACTTGACCATTGCCAGCTTGATGGAAAACTGTAACTCTATAGACTTGCAGTTAAGAACGAAGTACTTTTTTTGGTAATGGTTGTTTTAATGGTTCAAAATATCTGTTTTTATTGATGGAATAGTTAGAACTGGTGAACAATTTGTATCCTTTTATACAGATAAAGGTATAGATTTCTTGTGTTGAATGTGAAAAATACATAGTAATTTTTAATAAAATAAAATAAAGTAATAAAATACATGTCGATTACTTGTGTTGAATGTGAAAAATACATAGTACTTTTTCATCATTAGATCGCCCCACGGTGGGGGAGGGAGGGAGGGAGGGGAAAAATGAGGAGCTGATACCAAAGGCTCAAGTAGAAAGAAAATATTTGAGAATGATGATAGCAGCAAATGTACAGATGTGCTTGACACGATGGATGGATGTATTGTGATTAGAGTTGTACGAGCCCCTAATACAATGATTTTTTTAAAAAGATCACCCTAAGTCATAATATTATACTCTTAATTAGGCCTTGCTTTTAATTGAACATACTTCCCAGAATATGATGTTTCAGTATAAATTGATGAGCTTAATATAATCATTTGATCTCATGTTTTAAGTTATTACACAACATCTATCCTATTCTGCAGGTTGTTATCCTCATTGGCAGTCATGTCTCATTATGAGGAGAGGGGTTTGTAGTTTTTTTGTTTTTTTTTAACATTTTATTAGGTGCTCATACAACTGTTATCCCAATCCATACACACATCAATTGTGTAAAGCACATTTGTACATAGTTTCTCAAAACATTTTCTCTCCACTTAAACCCCCAACATTAGGTCCTCATTTTTCCCCTCCCTCCCCGCTCCCCCCTCCCTCATGAGCCCTTGATAGTTTATAAATGGGCATTTTGTCATATCTTGCCCTGTCCGACTAAAAGAAGCCAAGAAAGATACACAGACACGCACGCGCGCGCGCACACACACACACACACACACACATGCACAACACACTAATGAGAAAGGAAAGTAGGAAAACTCTCAACAAAAAAGGTATAAGATGACATCACAGAGTCTACAGATGGAGATAATAACCCTGACTATCAATGGCCTGAACTCAGGCATTAAAAGACTGAGACCATCAATCTGCTGCATACAGGAGACACATCTCAAGGCTACAGACAAAAATAGGCTGAGAATCAAAGGTTTGAGAAAGTCATACCAAGCAAACAGCAATTCAAAATAAGCAGGGGTTGCAATCCTAATTTAGGATAAAATTGACCTCAAAGTGGAAACCATAAAAAGAGATAAGGAGGGACACTATATAATGCTCAAGGGAATGGTAGTCAAAGAACCAGTAAGCATTGTAAACATTTATTCCCCGAATGAAAGACCCACTGAATACGTCAATCAAACACTCCAAAAGATGAAAAATGAAATCACAGCCTCAACAATTATAGTGGGTGACTTCAGCACACCACTCTCTGAGAAAGATAGATCACAGGGAAAGAAACTCAACAAGGAGGCTAGAGATCTAAACACGACAATTAGACAATTTGACCTGATAGATATTTACAGAGCTTTTCATCCAAATACAAAAAAGTTAACATTATTTTTAAGCCCACATGGCACTTATTCGAAGATAGACCACATGCTGGGGTATAAGGCGAATCTACATAAATTTAAGCACATTGATATACAGACTTCTCTCTCTGACCACTGTGCCATAAGGCTGGAAATCAACAAAAGGAAGACAAAGAAAATAAGAGCAAACAATTGGAGGATGAATAACTCTCTACTGCAAAATGAATGCACACTGACGCAGATAAGAGATGAAGTTAGGAAATTTCTAGAAAACAACAAGAATGAGCAAACGATGTACCAAAACGTATGGGACACAGCAAAGGCAGTTATCAGAGGAAGGTTCATAGCAATACATGCACACCTGAGAAAGGAAGAGACTCATGATTGATATGCTGGCACAAAATTTACAACTAGAGCAGAGTCAGCAGGAAAATCCTACTAATAGCAAAAGAAAAGAAATTATAAAAATCAGGGCTGAGATTCAGGAGAGTGAAAACAAGAAAACTATGGAAAATATTAATGCTGCTAAAAGTTCGTTGTTTGAAAGGATAAACAGAATCAACAGACCACTTGCAAACCTAACCAAAGAAAGGAGGGAACAGATTTTAATAGCAAGAATACGGTATGAAAGAAATGAAATCAAAAGGATAGTTACACAGTACTACGAAGGATTGTACTCCAATGAATTCAACAATTTGGAAGACATGGACAAATTCTTGGAAAAACAATCCCTCCCTAGACTATCCTTGGTGGAGGTCAAGAATATCAACAGACCCATAGCAATAGAAGAAATAGACAAGGTTATCAAGGGATAACCAACAAAAAAATCCCCTGGACCAGATGGCTTCACTGTAGAATTCTACCAAGATTTTAGTGAAGAACTAATACCAATCCTACACAAACTCTTCCAGAGCATAGGAAAAGAGGGAAAACTCTCGAACTCCTTCTAGGAAGCTAGTATAACTCAAATACCAAAACCGGGCAAGGATCCCACAAGAATCGAGAACTACAAACCAATATCCCTAATGAACATCGATGTAAAAATCCTTAACAAAATACTAGCCAACAGAATACAAAAGTATACAAAACAAATAATTCACCATGACCAAGTGGGATTCATACCAGGGATGCAGGGATGGTTCAACATATGAAAGACCATTAGTATTATTCGTCACATTGATATGAAAAACTATAAGAACCGCATGATAATAGCAATAGATGCAGAAAAAACATTCGACAACATCCAACACCAATTCCTGTTTAAGACACTTGAGAAGATAAGAATGGAAGGAAAGCTTCTCAAGACAATATAAGCCACATATGAAAAACCAACAGCCAACATGGTAGTCAATGGAGAAAAGACTAACACAAGCCCACTGAAAAAGGGGCCCAGACAGGATGCCCCTTGTCCCCACTATTATTTAATATCGTCCTGGAGGTTTTAGCTAACAGCATAAGGTGAAGAAGAGATATCAAAGGTATTCACCTGGGGAAGGAAGAGGTGAAACTATCATTATTTGCAGATGATATGATTTTATATATGGAAAATTCCAAAAGTTCCACAAGGAGAGTCCTGGAAGCAATAGAGGAGTTTGGCAGTGTGGCAGGATACAAGATCAACAAACATAAGTCCATCGGACTGCTATACACATCGGATAAGACCACAGAAAAGGAGATCAAAAAGATGGTACCCTTCACAATAGCCAAATACAAATTGAAATATCTAGGGATATACCTGACTAAAAGAACAAAAGATCTATGCAGGGAAAACTGCAGAACACTATTACAAGAAACCAAGGGCGACCTCAACAAATGGAAGAATATCCCATGCTCGTGGATTGGAAGACTCATAGTCAAGATGTCAGTTCTGCCAAAGGCACTATATAAGTTTAATGCAATCCCGATATAATTACCCTCATCTTTCTTCAAAGAAATGGAAAGACTGATTACCAATTTCATATGGAGAGGGAAGAAGCCCAGAATTAGCAGAGAACTCCTCAAGAAGAAGGACACAATGGGAGGGCTTGCTTTACCTGACTTTAGGCACATACTATACAGCCACAGTTGTCAAAACCTCATGGTATTGGTACAATGACAGATACTCAGACCAATGGAAAAGAATGGAAAACCCAGAAATAAAATCATCAGCATACAGACAACTGATCTTTGATAAGAGCCCCAAAAATATCAAATGGTAAGATGATGCCCTCTTTAACAAGTGTTGCTGGAAAAAATGGATATTTACCTGCAGAAAAATGAAGCAAGACTCTTACTCAATGCACAAGAATAAACTCAAGGTGGATTACAGACCTTGAAGTTAAACCCCAAACTATTAGGGCCATCAACAAGGGAATTGGGACCAACCTGAGAACTTTGGCACAGGGAATACATAGGCTATCAGAAATAGGGAAGGACACA